TGGACGACTTGCTCTGATACCATGTTGAGCAAGAGCAAGTGAAGAGAGGAGAGGAGAAGAGAGAAAAGAGATGAGTCGAGTGACTGAAAGCCCTCCAGAACTTAGGGGGCGAAAGAATGATTTTATTATTTATACTAGTACAGTCGAACAATATGAACAGAGGAGAAGTTACAATAGTACCCTTATGGTACTAAATCTGAATACATAAACAACTGACAACATACCATTAATAAATGGTACAGTTATCTATTAACTACGCACATGAACTCAAAGTACAGAACATCTAATTGAGAGCCGGGTCATAAAAATCATCTCTGGGACAAGAAAACCACCCAAAAGAACACCAATTGGATGATTCTATCCATTTTATTAGTTTAAATTTTGGGATGTCCCAAAATCAGATGAAATAATTCAAAAGGAATCCACTTTCTTGTATATCACTTAAACAGTGGTTTTAAGAATGTGGTCCATCCTATGGTTGACCAGTTAATTGGGCTGTCAAAATTAACAACATTTATGCTTACTCTTTTGGTAATAGGTACATGGTATTGAAATATTGAATGTATAAAACTCATCTGACCCTTACTCCAATTTTTATCTTATAGTAGCATCCTTCCAGAGAACTTAAAAGGCAAACCTGGTTGGCAGAACGGCAAATCATAATACTGGTATGTCTCACTGCAATAGAACAACAATTACATTAAAATAACATAAAGACCAAAATGAGAATGAAAATTCTCAAGAACCTATCCAAGAACAAAACAAGAAGGTTAACCACCGGCAAGTTCTTAGTAAATATTAACAGCATTTTTTCCTAACTTGCAATAAACTCTAATAGCAATTTCTATTAGTCCTGATTTTGTGACAAAGTTGTGAAAATGCATTATGAAGAATTTGATATCCCTCCCTGCATGTTCTGAATGATGACACTTGGAAGCCTTGGATGAAGTGAAGAGATATCTAAATATGAATAATTATTTAAACAAAGTAAAGGACAATATGAACAAAACAAATAATCTTCAATGCCAATACTAGTAGTCATGGTAGCAGTAGGCTAGTAGAAATTGTAATAACTTGAAACCTATCATAGTTGTATTATTTTGAACTTGTGATTATTGTTGTTGGGTCAAACAAGATCTCATGGTTGAAGTAGTAAATAAATATTGGTAATCTAAAAATCACTGTGGGTATCGCAATTATGAGATCACCTGTTGGAGTCCAGCTCATCCAAAAAAATAAATAGTAGTGTAGGCTGTCAATGGGATTTAAACAATGACATAACCAACCAAGCTAGACAAACCATCTAGAAGATGGAATATCTTCCAATAGTTTCAAGGAGACATCTGAGGGTAGGCCTTGGCGCAATGGTTGGGTCGCCCCATTGCGACTTGGGTGACTAGGGTTCAAATCATGGAAACAGCTAGTGGTTAACCTTCTTGTTTTGTTCTTGGATAGGTTCTTGAAAAATGACTAGGCAACAAGATACTTCATAAGTCAAGGAAAAGGGCAAGGCAGGCACCTTATCATCTGCTGTATATGTTGTTGGAATTTATGTGTAGGGCTGCAAATAAGTCAGATCAGATCCAAATCCGAATCCGATAACAGCCGAATTTGGATACCTCCCTTGATCCTAACAAATTGGGTTGGATCGGAAAAGTTGATCTATTTAGTTAATGGATCGAATTTGGATATACCCTGATCTGATCCATTAGTTATGAAATATTATATATTATATATTATTTATATAATATATATGCATATTCTATATGTATTTTATATATTATTTCTTATACTATAATATATTATTATATTATATAAATAATATAATATAATATTTATATTATATCATAAAATTCCTTTATTACAATTCTAATCGAATCAGATATCCAATAAGATATTCGAATTCGAATTTGAATCATAGTTTTGAAAATCTAATGGATTCTTACCGGATTTGGATCAGTCAGATTTCTTATCAGATCGGATCGGATATGCCCTTTACCGAATCCGATCTGATCCGTTTGCAGACCTATTTATGTGTGCTCTATAATACATAAAATAATATAGTGCATATATTAGTATGCTATCCATTACTTATCTTAGATTCTTGCTGCAATACTTCCTTGCATTATTGATTCAATGTGTTTTACTTTGCTTATTCCCATGGATGCAATCATCTTCCAAGCCTTATCCCAACTATATGGGGTCAGGTACATCTTCCAAGCCTTATCCCAACTATATGGGGTCAGGTACATGATTTGTTTCCATAGATTCATGATTTTAAATATTTTTTTGGTAGCAAATAAAAAATTTCATTAAAAGAAAAAGAAATTACAGAAATATGGGAATCACCTTCGATTAATATTTTTTATAGGAAACAATAACTTTCATTTACTAGATTAAATAAAGAGTACAAGCAGCTGGTTGGTAAGGTCTCCTGCTGGTCGTAGCAGAGACTTGGGATTGGTTGGGGGATGGGCTACCCCCCATTGTGTAGCATAGTTTTCAAGGTGCCAAGGCAAGGCTAGGCGATAGGGGGACACCTTGTCGCCTAGTCGCCTAGTCGCCTAGTCGATGGATTTTTTTATATAGAAAACATAGATCCTAGGGAAATTCCCTAGGTACCATAACCATATTTCCTTTTTCATCAAAGAAGTAGTAGTAGTAGTAGTAAAGAAGAAAAAGAAGAAGAAGAAGAAAATGTGTTGATTAGACAAAATTTTAAGTTCTCCCTTACTTATTGGTTCAGGTTTTGAAGTCTTTGGGGGTTCAAAACAGCATTTAGCAAAGTTTGTATTGATTAAACCCTAACAAATAAGAAAATAATAAAAAGAAATTAGTATATAAACACACAAAATGAATATTTTAGTTTAATAATGTCTATTTTATAATTATATAATTATAATGTCAAAAAATAAAAGAATAAAAAAGTATTTTATAATAGAAAGTACAAAACTGCTTGGCAATTAGGCGACGTGAGCCTCAAAGGGCACCTTGTCGCCTAGGTGTCGCCTTGACAACTATGTTGTGTAGCCCTTCAAAAGAAATAAAAAAGAGTACAATTGTCACCACCCAAAGAAAGGATGGTAAACCCTAAAAAATAAAGCAGTCTTACAAACAAGCCCAAAACAAGGACTCTCCCTATTGACTCCTTGCTTTGCTAAAGTGAAAGTGCTATTCATTCCATTTGCTGATATTCTAGTCCATCTAAACTGCATCCCAAACTCCCTTGCTAAACACATAATTTCTATTAGAGGCTGTTTGAAGGACTACATTCCCATGCTTCTTGTTTGCAGCCAACCTATTACCAGCTTGGAGTCTCCTTTCACTTCTAGTTGTTGCAGTCCACATTGTTTTGCCAATCTGAGACCTTGGAGTAGGGCCTTCACTTCTTCCCTTAAAGAATCTCCTACACCAATTGGGCCCGAGTAAAGGGCCAAAACTCTTCCTTATCTCAAAACACACCCCAACTCCTGAAGGACCTGATTACCTACAAAGCTTCCATCAAAATTCAATTTCACCCTAAAATGTAGAGGTGGGGACCAGCTTTCTTTCTTAAACTATGGGAGATGAGGAAGAGGAAACAACTATAGCACTCCAGCCTCTAATTAAGTCAACAAAAGAGAAGTCCTTGAAAAGATCCACAGCTTTCAGCCAATGTATGATCTTGATGGTAATTCCCTCAATAAATTCTTCTTTGTTTTTTCTTGCCCTTGGAAGATCCTGTTATTTCTTCCTTCCCAAACCAACCACAAGACAACTGCTCTTATTGTTCTCTACATCACCCTACCCTTCTTCTTTGGTTGTTGGAAGAAACTAAATTCAAAAAGGTTCACCACACACAAGGGAAGATTCCACTTGCAACCAAAGAGAGAGGAGAACCAATCCCAAATATAAGAAACAAAAATGGCAGGAGATGTATAGATGAATCACTATCTCACCACTCCCTAATGAAAGGACAAAGGCAAGTAGGACTCAATAATGGATTTCCAAGGAGAGAAGTGAGAAGCCCTGGGGTCAAGACCAACATGAAGAGATGAGAGATCCATCGTATGGACGCCCAAATCTTGCGGAATAAATGGGCGAATTTCAAAAATTTTTCTCTCCCTTTCAATTGGGAATCACATTCCCTATTTAGAAAATCATATTTTCAAGGATCAATCTTGAACCATAAACTGAACCAGAT